AGAAGGTTTAAAATGTGAGTAAACAAGCACCTAATAAAGCCGCTGTGCTCCTGCTGTTCCCGCTGCAACTGCTGCGAGCCCCTGATGAACGTAATCACAACGACGCGCAGCTATTCCACAATGAATATGAATCAACGGAGTTGACATTGGTTCGCCCTTCTGCTCTCTGTAACCCAAGAAAACAATGAAGCTTTGGTGAAAGAAGTAACGGCTGGACGTGGCCCACCATAGTGTAATACAGGTATTCCGTTTTAAACTCCTCACGAACGCCGAATAACTCATCAACTCTTAGCTGAACCATCGACTCAAGGAGTACCGCTCACGTAGCTATCGTTGCAGCCACGCTAGTATTTGGTCGTTTTGTGGACCTGCACATCCCAGATGTCGGATCAGGGGGCTAGAAGTGCTTCCAGGTGGATAATTGACGTTATTTGAACCCAGTCCGCGAATAAGTGTTTATCTCTATTGGATTTTACCTCCCGAAAGCCCGTTGGGCCGATTAGTATGCAAGGCGGCGTCAGAAACATTCGGTGCAGTTTCTTTTGAGCGGACTCACCAAATGCCTTTGTACCAGCTCGTGGACTTCCCTACTAGGTGTACAGACAATCAGCTACCATCCATTTTAGACCGGCTCTTCGCCGTCACTTGACTTCGTGTTTGAAGTTTTGTGCGATGCCCCTCCAGGGTCTAGTGTTCATGCATGCACACTATTTCGGTGTGCAATACAAGGCACCAACAGACCACAGTTCACTTACTTCCGATTCGTTGACGAGCTAAATTCAGTGCAATGCGCGTTAATGCTTCAGTTCTGAACTGTGAGATATCGATGGTCGGTACTGTCCAGTTAGCCTGGGATAAATTTAAGGCAGGCCTTACGAAGCTTTTCACCCCTATATTCCATTCAGCAGGAAAAAAGGAGTACGGGCACCGCCTCCATGGATAGATAGGGCAGCAAGTAAATAAATAAATAAATAAATATTTTATTCTCGACAAAGCGAGACACGCCTTTTGGGCATGATCAGCATATTGCATTATTGTACATGATAAATAAATAAATAAATAGATTGTGTATTCTCGACTAAGCGAGGCACGCCTGCGCAGGCATGATCATGTTAAGAGTACAAAATGTGATCAATTAATGTACAATGGAACAATGGGATTGTTGCATATGTTTATGTATGAACGTATGTAAGTTTGCATGTAGGCGTGTTTAGATTTGTTTATGAGATTGGTAAATGTTTCCTGTCGTTTTGCTTGAATGTGTTTGAAGGTGTCGCCAGTGCTAAATGGATGCTTGATATCTGTGGAGTTGAAGCGATTGTCCGGATAAGCAATGGGTGACTTTAGTTAGTGGCGAGTCACAACCGCCACGTCACAGCGTTGTTAAACGGACTTTTGTGGCTTTTTATAGGGAGAACGCTTGCCAGGCGAAAACCCACCACGTCCTGGAACACTGCCGCCGAACTATTTGCTGGAAGGGGGTAAACCCGAACCACCCAACTGGCACCACGAGGAGGTTGTTCGGCCAGCCAGCCAAGAAAACGTCTAGTTGCTGGCGAACCATCCAAGCAGCTCCAGCAGACGGCACCTCCGACCGTCATTTAGATATTAGAAAAACCTAAGCCACCTCGTAGGACTGCTGCTCACCGATATTAGCAGGGTTTAGCGGACGCGGCCGCAGCCAAGCCCAAGAAGACTTTGCTAACGACGAAAGAGGCAGCGGGGCAAGTGTGGCCGTACCAGTGTTATTGCGCAAACTGACTGTGCAAAGCATTGTATATTAAATGAACGGTTTACCTTAGTCTGCTCGGGAGAACACTGTAACGCGGGTTGCATTGGTTGTTCAATAGCTCCAGCTGATTGTTGCTCAGCTAAGTTGAATAAAACTTAGACACAGGTCTTGCAGTCACTGCAAGGCATTAATCCCTCTAAAGCTTACAGTCCTGCTTCCCTTCATCAAAGGCAGGTGCACGAAGAAGCCGTTGAGCTTAGACTGCCACTTACATGCATCCTTGCAAGATCGCTTGACAGCGGCGTCTTACCAGGGGAATGGAAGGAGGCAATCATCCATCCGATTATGAAGCGCGGTGACAGAGCGACATCCTCGAAATATCGGCCTGTTAGTTTGACAAGCAAAGCCTTTAAGTTGTTCAAACAGCTGCTGAGGGATTGAGTGTAGTACCACTTTAATGTGTTCCAACTCTTCAGTATTGCGTTGCATGGCTTCCGCAATGGACTTAGGTATCCGACTAACCAACTTATGGTTCATGAATATTGGGCCGAAGCGGTAGACAGTGGCCACGCTATATAAGCGTCATTCTTGACTTGGAAAACTATTGCCCTGTTCCTTATCCAAGAGTCTCACTAAAGTTGAAAACGCACGCGAAAACTGTTCGCGGCCTTAGATGGGTGTATGCTTTTCTTGAGGGGAGGGAAAAGTGCGTTCAGGTGAGAAGTAGCCATTTTCTCAGGCAAGTTGTCCTGCGCCTCCCACAGGGCTCGGTATTGGAACCATTGTTGTTCGTGATCTATATAAATGACTTCCCGGGGAGCTAGGAATATCATCACTGATGTTCCATGACGACCTTAAACTCTGGAATATTGTGGATATTTCGAGAGGTGCTGATGCAATTCAACGTGCCATGGATAGGCATCTTGGGAATGGTCTCCTATATAGTTGATGCCGAAAATAGGGCCAAGTGCTCGGTTGTCCGCATCGGAGCTGCAAATTCTCTCACCCCATATGTTGTCGGCGCTGGTGAACTCCCGGTCGTAACACAGCAGATTGCTTTGTGGGTCGTACATACATCGGCACTTCATTCTGCCAACAACTGCAAGAAAGCTGCTTGTCGGCGCTTTGGTATGAGGTGATTTATCCGCCGCTCTTTCGGAATCCCAACTACCAGGTTGTTCGTAAGACTATTCTCGGCATCCGTCCGTCCCCACCTGGAATACTGTATCCAGGCTGGTCCACCATGTCTAAAACGAGACAAAAGGGACTTCGCGAGGGAGTTACCAATGGGCACTCGTTTAGTGCAGGTTCTAAGAGGACGCCTGCTCAGTTTGGGGATGTACTCTATGCACTACCGAAGGATAAGTTAGCACCAGCTTCCCACTTATCGTATGTTGACGGGTAAGTTCGGCCCGGACTCGTCCAGGACGTATTAACCATACTACGTTATATAATCTCCGCGGTCACCCACTGAAACTGCATAAACCACGGGCAGATAGGATTAAGACGGAAAGTCATCCGTGGCGCCGCGTTGTAGATCGCTGCAATTCACTTCCAGATCATGTGGTTAGGGAAGTACGGTTAAAGGTTTTGCACGCCAACGCTGCTCTAGGGTGGCTACACCAGCGCTTTTCTTTTTCTAACTGACTCAACTTCACTTTTCAGCCTTTTTAATGACACAAATATCTTGGTATTCTAACTGCCTAGCTCTTTTTACTTTCTTTTTCTGCCTTCCGTGTTTACTTTTTCTGTTTTCTTACTTCATGCAACCGGCCCAGCAGGGACTGTTAAGGCGGGATACGTGGGCGTTTATTGGCTGGACAGGTTGTGATGCGGTCTTTATTTTAGGTCCATTAGTATTTTAAAGTCTACCAGCTTCTGGTTCAACGACTTGCTGAAGAAGAAACGTTCACGGAATAACCCTATTGTTCCAATCCCGCTTGAACTGGAACTTGGAGATGTATTGCGTCAAGTGACTGAACAAACCGACTTGGGTATCTCGTTATCCTCTGACTTCAAATCCAGCGAGAACTGGACAAACGCTACCCGCTAGGGTTTCCGAATGCTGTGGATGATCCGCAGGTCTTTCGGCATTATAACAAATGAAATATTCGTTATATTGTCCTCAGCCTTTGTCAGGCCATACTTGGAGTACTGCGTGCAGGCATGTCCTCCATGCTTGGTACGCGATAAGATGACCCTTGAACGAGTTCTGAGGGTTGGTACAAAAATGGTACAAGGATTGAGGCATCTCTCGTATCCCGATAGGCTGCTCAGGTTGCAGATCTTTTCGCTGCACCATAGGCGCCTTCGGGAAGACCTGATTCTTACGTACCGTATAGTGACCAACAAGACGGCCTGATCCAACTGGACTGTTCCAGCCGGCTCAGGTGCCATCTCTTCGTGGTCACTCCCTGAAGTTGCATAAGCCTAGACCTGATCACGGTAGAGCTGACGTTCGTTTGTCACGCAGGGTCATCGACACATGGAACGCACTACCCAGCGAAGTAGTATTAGCACCCACGGTAAAGGAGTTCGAACATCGACTCGACGCCCTTGGGTTACAGTTTCAGACTTTCCGTTTGGTTCTTAACTTCTACATCTATTTCCTTGGCTTCTCACATCTATTACTATTGTTGTATTAACCACACATTCTCTCCTGTACTACAGTTACCATTATTTTGATTTTGTTGATACCCTTCTCTTAACCTTTATTCTATTCACGGGGCCGGTACAATGGGGACTGCTAGTGGGCATTGATTGATTGACCGTTATGTGATTCGTGTGTATTGATTTGGCTCCTCTCGGCTTCAAAGCGCTCCCGCGAACTCCATCCTGGTTTAACGACGCATTGAAGAAGGAACATACATGGGAATTCTCTTACCGTTCCTGTCCATCTTGAACTTGAACTTGAACACGAAATCTTTCTATTTTCCTAACCAGCTCACAGCTGCATACTTTGATTTTCTTTTCTATACGTTTCTTTACGCATGCGTATTAGTAGCGCGTCTCAAGTGTTCTTCCTTATTCTGTACCTTCGACTTCCTTTCCTATCCTTTGCTTACCTCACGTGACTGCCACAGCAGGGCTTGCTAGGTCAGGAAACGTGGACATTAACTGGTTAACCAGGGTGTCATACGGGTGCCTCGTTTTAGTTCCATCAATAACAGAGCACTTTATCAATTACTTGCTCAACGATTCATTCAAGGTGGAACACTCACGGGATTCTCCCATTGTTCCAGTCCCACCCGATCTTGAACTCGACCTTGACAAGTCTGCGATTAGCGCAGTGGTCATGTTGCCTAACGTGTTGCTTAAGCGAAAATCGGAAAAGTCATCCTCTCAGCTAAAGCGGCGCAAGACAACAAAGCACGAAGTAACCTTACTCATTTTATAAAGGTTTATACGCAGTCTTCCGAGGAAGATATAGCCCCTCTTACAGCTGCGGAGACTTTTACAAATGCTGATGGCGAGGATTTCCGAAGCCGTACTTGTCCTTACCTTGACACGATTAACCGAAATATGCTTGATTTTGATTTTGAGAAACTTTGCTCCGTTTCGCTGTCGCATCTAAACGTTTACGCTTGTTTAATCTGCGGCAAGTATTTCCAGGTAGGCTTTGACTACCACTGCTTTCTTGTGAATGTTAACATTTGCAAACTTATTTTAGGGCATTACTTATCGGTTTCCTTTTTTGATTTTGCATTTATCTATATAAGTCATTAATTTACGGCATGTCTATCTATTTATGGCATATCTACTGCCCAAAAACTGAAAAGTATTTTTGTCCGCAAACTACACCTTAGTTTGACCTGGATCCTATGTTGGATGGTTTAGCTGACACTACCTCGACCAACTCCAAAAGTTCTTTGCCTTCGTTTAGCGACATTGCGATGCAACCTCGCTCATTCTAGCGTTGCTACAGACGGATGGAACCCATGCGTATGGCAATTATGACATGGTGAGCGTGCTTGGTCGTCAGTACTCGAGCCTTTGTCCGCGACACAAATACACACTACATAGTGATAGTCTCATGAATCTCTGAAGGTTCTTGTCTAGACAAATCTTTGGTGGCGAAGTTCTTTTGTTAATGACGGTTTTAATCCAACTGAGATTTCATCCTACGATGCTATACGCATTGGCAGCGAAACAGTAAACCCTTGACTTATGTGTCCCTGGAGTCAATTCGTGGCTGCGTTTTGCCTCTTGAATGGAAGCAAACTGATTTGTCCCATTTTCAGTGCAGTAACAATGACCTTCCGGCTAGTTAGAGGCCTGTCAGCTTGACTAGTTTGTTGATTTAAGTACTTAAAAATCTGGTAATAGATTCAATGAATGAATTTAACTTGCTTAGTATGGCGAAACATGGGTTTCGCGATGGTTTGTAATAGATGCTGAACTTTTTGTTAGCTCGTGAGAGCTGTACTGATGCTGTTGGCACGTACTATTTCTTGACTTCGCTATGTCCTTTGACCCTGTCTCCTATTCGTGGCTTTCGTCGTAGTTGAGGGTATATGGAGTGTCTAATCGCTCCCTACATTTAGCAATAGCTTTCGGCCCGTAGCCTACAGCTAACGAACTTTTTTCGTAATCTTGCGACGCGGGTTCGAATCCGCTTAGGGGTGGGCATCCTCGCGGTATACTCAGACTTCATGCGACTGGTGGTGGTCTCAAGGTAGCGCGCCGTTACGCCTTACGGCTGATACTTTATTATTATTATTATTATTATTATTATTATTATTTCCTAGAAGGAACAGGAGCAGTTTCTCCCCTTTGGATACAGCTTTTTGTTTCGACAACCTGTTCTCACCGGCGTACCGCAGGACTTCGTCCTAATACCACTGCTGTTCGCGGTCTACGTAAATGAATTGCCTGAGGAGTTTGAAATGCCATCTCTGAGGACCTAAAGCTCTTGAATATTGTAGTTGTCACTGGGGTTCTGACACTTCGACGGGCTCTGAATAGACTCTGGGAATGGCCTAACTTGTGGATTTTGCCCCTAAACTGGGTACTGTTCAATGTTGCAAATCGAATCGAGTGTTGCTTCCACGAGTTATGGGATTATTGGGAGTGAACTTCCTCACATGATCCGCCAGGTTGATCAGGTTCAGGTTTAATTGGGAACGGAACATCTAGAAGATCCAGTGAATGTTCCACCTTCGAAATCGTCGTTGAGCCACAGGGAATGCGGTATATTGATCTGCCAAAGGAGAGCCAGATCGACACACACGATTCACATGGTCAACCAAACAATGCCCACGTGCCCTGCACTAGTAGTCCCCACTGTGCCGGCCACGTGAATGAAGGAAAACAAAAGGAAATAAGGGGAAAGACAAGTTTACCAAATTACATGAGTAATGTTGAGATGCAACTGAAAATGAATTATGGACTAGTAAGCCGTAATAGTCGGGTAAATGGTTAGGAAATGAAGGGGAATATTTTATACTGCAGACCGAGGGATAAAGTTGATGTTCAAACTCTTTCACCGTCGGTGCCATTACAACTTCTACGGACAGCGCGTTGCAGTAATCTGACCCTACGCGATAACTGAAAAGCTGTCCCTACCCGATCAGATCGGGGTTTGTGCAACTGCATTGGATTACCACGAAGGGTTGGCACTCGAGTTGGGTGGAACAGTCCAGTGAAATCAGGACCAACCAACTTTTCAGTCGTCATGATTCCGAATGACCTCCAGATCACTAACAACATGCCGAATCCTTTGCGGGCAGCTGTCGCCCAATGTTCACTGAACTTAAAGTCGCGTGACAGCAAGACTCCTAGGTCAGCTTGGAGTTGCACCGGCGGCACTTCGTTTCCACAAAGAAAATAACTCGTCGGTAAGTCATTTGGTCCTGCGCGTATGGCTGAACATTTCGCGAGATTCAAGGGCAATTGCCACAAAAGGGACTAGTCCCAAAGTCTATCCAGAGCCCTTTGTAGGGTCAGTGGACCAATCTGATCGTTTACTGTGAACCAGAATTTTAGGTCATCCGCGAACATTAAAGATAGCACTCCCAGCTCATCAGCTAAGTCGTTACCGTATAAACTGAAGAAAAAGAGGCCGAGGACTGAACCTTGCGGGACCCCACTGAGACAGGCCTGTACCTACACGAACGCTTACCTCCCTTCTGATTAGAAAAGCTGGAATCCATCGTAAGACAACTCCAGAAATTCCCTAGGATTGCAACTTCTACAAAAGACGTGAATGCGGAGCCGAGTCAAAAGCTTTGGAAAACTCAATGATCATCACGTCCACTACCTTTTTTCGCTAAACAGCTTCAGCCCAATGTTCTTGGGCCACCAACAATTTACTCAGACAAGAATAACCCTTACGAAAGCCATGTTGAGAGGGATTGAGCGATCCAAAAACTTAATGTCCTTCGAAAGCGTCTTTCACGTTTTCCAACAGCTTGACCAGCACGATCGTCGAACTTAGCGATCATTAATTTTCAGGGAGGTGTTTGCCACCTTTTTTAAAATGTTACACAGTAGTTTACTTCCAATCGGTGGGTAGAAAGCAGCTGTGTAGAGACTTCCCAAACAGATGCGTAATCGGAGGACAAAGTTCCTCAGCCAACTCGTACAGCAGTTGGGATTTAATACCCACAGAAGTCGGAGCACTTGAGCCTCTGTTATGGAAACCTCCATCAGGAAAGAGCCCTCAGGAACTTTTGCCTGCAGACTGATATGCGGCATCTGAGACTCTCGAACATACACACCTGCATACTGTTCACCGAGTAAACAAGCTTTGTCGTAATCTGTGACAGCAGCAGAGCCGTCAGGGCCAAACAACACCGCGATGGACGTATTTATGTTGCCTCGCCTTTTGACATAAGCGAAAAAGCGTTTTGGATTACATGAGGCTGTACGAGCAAGCTCAACTTCATATTGTAGTCGAGCACCTCGCAGATGCTGCCTGCAGGCATTTCGAGCTTCGCGGTAGCGCTTGTAGGTGCATGACGGAGGAGCAGATAAATAAGCTCGCCAACATCTAGCACGTCTGTTAAGCTGTTCGCGTGCGGCAGAACCAAACCAATGTGATTTTGCCCTAGTTTTATTCCTCCCAGCAAGTGGTATGCGAGGAAGAGAGGGCTCATATGAAATGTGTCAGCTTATACGCCGTAACGGCGCTTCGCTGCCGCACGACCACCACCAGTCGCGCGCGGGCTGAGTATACCGCGAGGACGCCCACCTCTACGCGGAGTCGAACCGGTGACCTTATGGTTGCAAAGCAAACGTGCAGACCACTCGGCCACCGGCCGACGAGGGCTCATATACATAGGACTTAATTTCTTCCAAGCTGCCTGAATGTTGTCAGTTTCCAAGATGACACAAGGCGGTTTTGCAGCCTTGGCTTTCATTGCTTGAAAGTCCGCACGCCATAAATTTGACCCCCTTCGGGACGGTCATTAGTCATACGACTAAGAGCGCACTTGAACAACAGACAAGCGTGATCGCTAGCACCGAGAGATGAGTTGTATACTATGTCCGTGACAAAGTCAGCGGATTTAGTAAAGGTAAGGTCCAAGAGGGACGGGTTTTGTCCCATAATGTATCTAGTGGACCGATCAACGAATTGATGCAGGAGAGCAAGCAAGGTTAGATCGAGAAGCTCAGTAGCAAACACCTTGAAACAGCATCGCAGGGAAAATTCTGCAAGTCAACCTCTGGGAGATTAATTCCCCCAGCACCAAACACCTGTTCGCCGAATGTTCACGGATAAAATTAATGCGACCACTAGCAACGCTATCGGAGCTCCTATAGACCAGCACGAATTTAAGTCGCACAGATGCCATACACAATGAAACTGCAAGTGCCTCAACAAAACCGTCTAGTGAGCGAAAAGTATGTCTTAAAGACATTAAGGGTGGAGTTGACATTGAAAGCGACGGCACCTCCGCGACGATCGAAGGTGCGATCACACCTCAGTAGTGCGTAGTGTTGTAAGCACACTTCACTGTCCGTGACATCGGTGGGCAACCAAGTTTCAGTGAACGCGAGAACATCTGTACGCTAATCGTCGACAATGACGCTGACTTCGCTCGGCTTGTTCCGCAGGCTACGCACATTACTGAATATCACCTGAAGGGATCTAACATCGTGAGTCCGGGACCGCGCGTCATCAGAACCGGTTCTGGCAGGGCGGAAGTGGACTGCCGGTTCACCACCCGAAAACCCACCAAGCGGAGACCCTTTTCTCCTGCTTCACGACGGCCTTTAATATCTCGCACAGCCTCCTGCAATTTTAGCCTCTCCGCTTAAGGGAGATCTGGGTGCACAATGATACCAGTGCTCTTAAGCTTAAAGGTGAAATACAGAAGAGCTTGGCGCCCCTCCGGCATGGACAGAACGACTCGCACCAAGCGAGAGCGAGATACAGATTTGTCAGCCAGCAAGTTACCGAGTCTGGCAAGTTTTCGCACAGTCACGTCTGGAAAGCCTGGCGGCAGATGTTTGGTAACGCATATTCTAAACCACTCAAGGTCATCCAGCCTACCCTCTTTTGGAAGAACTGCCGATGACTCACTGGCATTCCTGATAATAAGACTGCAGTGAGTATCCGAGTCTTAGCGACGCGGAGTATTTACCGAACCCTCCATGGGCCTTGACGG